CCCGTCCGAAAACACTGCACTACTATGACGCGTTTCGATGTTATTACATCTGATCAGATAGAGTTCGCTGGCATCGAACCCGGGACATTGAGATGTTAGTAGTGACCGCTGTCACCAAGCCACCGGGTCAAGACGGGCAACGAAGTTGATGGTCATTTTTAAGTACACGTTGTGTGGATGGATTGTGACGCGCCATGGCAAATTGGACCGCAATTCCCAATGAAGTGAACCTTGGCCATTCAATCGCTAGGACCATGGCTGATGAAGCAGAGGGAAATTGGGTGTTTTTCGCCCGAAAACGCTGCACTACAGTGACGCGTTGCGATGTCATTTCAACTCATCAGATAGAGAGCAGGCATCGAACCCAGGACCAATGGGATGTTACTTGTGACCGCTATTCGTAAGCCACCGGGTCACAAGAGGTAACGCTTGGAAATGAAATTGCATCGAAACGCGTCATGGAGTGCAGTGTTTTCGGGAACGAAACACCTAAGTTCCCTCTGCTTCATCTGCCTAGATCGTTTGGGCATTACACTAGGTTCAGTCCCTCCCATCATTTCATATTAATCAGACATCTATGGCTGCATGGTATGGAAGCGTCAGTAGAATGTATCGATGCGCTGCTGTGGCTCGGAACAAGCGCTTTTAGTGACAAAGTTGCACTCTGGTAGTCTGCGGTAAACAGAAAGCCTTGGTATTCCATTTGCATAAGTGCAATATGGATCGACAGTGATATGGTCTAGGATCTCGGATTGTGGTGGCCGACTACAGGAGACACATGTGCATGAAAAACAAATCTGCGCACTGCTCTATAAGAATATAAGGAGCTGGGCTGCGTTAGTAGGTGGTCTTACCTATGGCAATGGTGACTTGAATCGGCCACTGAAATGCTAGTTTATCTACTGAGCCAGATGGAACAGTTTTGCTAAGAACACGGATATCATCGTTAAGCAAATTGGTAAATATTAAACAAGAGATTCCTTTTATAATTACAACAAGAAAATCGGAAAACGTATACTGTGAGATGACCTCACAGTTTTGTGCAATTTTATCTATCACAAAAATGTAGTAACCGTGAATAAACTAAAACAGTTTCATATGGGATCTAAATAGACGAGCGCTTATGCTACAAAGGTAAGTTTAGAACCACAGTCAGCTGTTTTTTAGTGCTCAGCAATGGGTGTACGCAATCGGTAGTGCTGGTCTTGGGAAGCCTAAAGTGTGGGCCTGCAGATCGTGTGTCAACAGTCCCAAGAAGCTAATCTTTGATGAACTGTTTTTCAAATGTAAGATTATGTGCAATGGTCCAAAAACGATGAAACGGTTGGATAAACTAAAGAATTCTGTGATGGCTGGTTCCGGTGATGCATCAATCCAGTACGGCGGTATATCACATCAGCAGGAGCCCAGATAGAAGGTAGCGCGGGGCAGCCAAGATGTAACACAGGGAAAATTGGTCGCACTTGTTCAAACCAATCGGGAAATCAATGATTCAGAGGAACGGAGAATATGCGGCAGATTTAAACAGCCTAGTAGTGCGTGTTTGTGAGACAACAGCAAGAAACGAAATTTGATTAAAAAAACTTGCCAATTGGAGTTATGCCAACAAATGGTAACCACAAGCAAAATACTGAAAGGGGCGAATACGCTACAATAACTACATTATGAAAGCCCCCGAGAAACGAGAAAGTACTGCGCTGGAAAGAGCGTACAGTGCGGCAGAATTGCGACTGCTCATATCAATGACATCTATGCTTGTGTCCGATTAATACACCGACGACGAGGCAGTGCATGTCCGACTGTCCGTATAAATTCCCATGTAGCTGCGCAAAGAGCTACGCTGGCTGCACTGATCAAAGTTTAGCTGTCAGAATCAATGAACACATCCTCAGTAAATCGGGAAATATACACTATTATTATTATTATTACCGGTGACGGCAGAATCAGGAAACCGAGCTCCCTCGGAAGTCACAAAACACCTGCTGGCCACTGATCGCCGAGTTAAACCTGATGGGTCGTTCACCGTCCTAATGCATGATAAGCACCATCACAATCCTAGGCCATCGTTATAGATCGCAAACACTCGCCGTTGGTTATTCAAAAACAGCGGACGGTGACTCTAAACCCACCCAGGTAAAGCTCTCGGTCATCTATATTCCAGAACACTGTTTAGTTCTATTTATCATTGCCGAATGTTTTTGATGAACAGGAAGGCACGAAATGGTAGCACCATCTAACAAATTGGCTTTGGATTTTCTTGTTTGGAAATTGAGATGCTAATTATAAGTGCATTTATATGCGAACAATACTAAACTAATTGTGAAACTTAAAAATTTGCGGCGTTATATATGAATCTGCACGTTAAAGCGCACCTATTAAATTTACCGGCATTGTATATCAAGGTTGTGCCGTGCAGATGACTGCAGAAAGAGGCGAAAGCCTAAGTCAATAAAGTCAAATATTTAATTAATGAAAAGTGGTAAAAACCTACTGAATGATTAGAACTTGGTCTAACGAACGTTAGTCCTGTAAATGAAAAAACAAAACTGTTGGATACAATATAAAAGGCGGTAAAGTACATTTAATTCACAACCACTGATCACTCATAAGTACTGTCAGTTAGGTCCCAACTGCGGCCTGCACACATTTCCGTGGACCGAAGGCCACAGTTCAGTTGGACAAGGCAGTCCTAACGTTGTCGGACGCTTATCTTCGGGTGGTACAGCCGGATCGTGGTGGCTTCAAGCAGACGCCTACTCAGAGTGCCTCAGGGTATTAGTGGAACGCCAGCATATCGTGCCGACGGTTTGCTGCAAGATGACCACCAACGATCGCGCATGGGCTGGGTAAACAGCGAGATCGCCCGCACGTATGTGGATTCGTACCAAGTACGTCCGGATTACTAGACAGGTGTGTGATTCTTTCGGCCATCGATCGAACTCGGCGCCTGCTAAATCACCCTGAACTACCCAGAAAACTTGGTGGCTGGCCTGTGTTGGCGTGATATGTAAGTAAACCAAAACCAATCACCACATCATTATGATGCCCCAATGACACCAAAACACTGAGGACCTCACTGAGGTATTCCCTCAGGAGCACGAAGCACTAAGTCCACCTCCAAAGTGAAGGAGAATCACTCTTCACTTTCTCGACGTGGCCATGAAGCGACTTGAGTGGTTAGCTAAAGTATCATGTGCATAGAGCACGTACTTCATTCCATTGATATCAAAACAGAACCTGAACCCAAGTTTAATGAACCAAGCGAAAGAAATTGATCGGACAGTAAATTGTCAGAACTGCAGGGCATACCACAGCGATAAGGAAAACCAAAACCATCCTAGTTAGTAAAGCAACGAAATCAGATTCCAGTGGCCCTGACAGCCTAGAAAAAACCTATTTTCAAAAACTAGCGCACAAGGAGGAATTCGGTGACGAAATCCAAACTCTTTGTCTCTCTCACACTTTATCAGCAACCAGAATGCAAATGCAGCTCACAGGTAGACCAGTAGTAAACTGATCCCAAAGACACGAGGCTCGTCCACGCAAAATCAGGGAGCTCACGCGTTCACCAGTTCCCGTCGAGCAAGTTGCATGAATCGTACGACGATGCACCCGTTCGACAGAGTGAGGGAACACCATCTGGCCTGGTTCGTTAATGAGGGTCGAAAACCAACCAACTCCTCCATAGTCATGCACTTCCCTGACACAGCTCAGCCACCAAGTTGACTGAGTAATGTCAGATCAACTATTAAGCTCCAGATAATCGATCAAGATGCGTCCGTAGGCGTTTATTCGAATCCACTGAAGCCGCTGCGATCCGGGTGAATGAGCAGGAGTTAAGTGATCAGAAACGGTTCGCTTAAACTGCTTCGATCTAATTGAACTATGATCTCCAGATTACGGAAAGGTGTGCACGCCGCAGCGGTGCCCTAATGGACAAGGAATATGAGTGATCGGTGCTTGTGAACTAAACGTAGTATTTCCACCAACTTTGTTTTCTATAAATAATTGTACATGCCTGAAGAGGAATTACTTGAAAGTAGTTAAAAAACGATAGTCTGCTTCCTTAGTATGACAAACACGGTGAGAAAAACAGAAAGTTGTATCTCATTGGACAGGTAAATACCGTGTGCACGCATGTGGTAGATAAACAAGATATGGAGGCCAGAGTGAAAATGAAGACACTTGGTCATATACAGACAGTTAAAAATCTTGATGGTATTGCCTCGAGTTGCCACGCGAACACTACTAGCTACTTCATGAGAGCAGAGGGTATGATTGCGAAAGTGAGTTAGAGAAAGGTCGATCTACGGGGACAATTTTTTGATCAATAGCATATATTTTGTATTTTGCAACCGTCTACGAATAGACATAGAGCCATCAAAAACCATGGGACTAAAAAGAAAATACAGAAATCGTAAAAGAATACACAACACAACACATCGGAGTCCATAGTTTCGTCAGAGGGCGAGATACTACTCCGTTGCCTAAGCCGAAGTACGGTGTTGACTTAGGGGCACCACCCCGAATCTTTGGCCGAATACCCTGCCCGCAAGGCAGCGGAGCGAATTCACGGAATCGCGCCCATTGGGAGCCGGTGACTGCGCAGTTCATACGCCTTTCGTTTGTTTGTTTATCAAACAGGGGCCCAACGCCCCCCAGAATAAAGTGGTTGGAATATCGTGCTTCGCCAGGACGAAGCAAGGGGCAGTGACTTTATTTAGTGGCGAGTCACATCCGCCACGTCAGTGTTGTTAAACGGACATTTGTGGTTTTGTATAGGGAGAAGGCTTGCTAGGCGAAAACCCACCACCTCCTGAAACACCGCCGCCGAACCAATTTCTGGAGCGGGAAAATCCCGAACCACCCAGCTGGCACCACGAGGTTGTTCGATCAACAGTAAGCAACCTATGAACATTTTTACGTAAAATGACAGTAAACACTATGCTTGAAGAGGTCGAAGCTGGTACAAGTTTTTGGACGAATAAGGGGAAACTCACAAAAACTCAGAGCACCGACTGTGCCAAGGAAAGATGCCAAGGAGACTGGCGTATGTTCCGAAATGAACCGTTAGGTCAACCGATGGCAAACGGGAGATATCTACACCAAGTGTGGTAATCAAACAGGGAAATTCAATCACCTTTGACGGTTTCGGCGAGTTGCTCGCTGGTGATAGGAACTGAACTGGAACATAAGCTCCGGGCAATATCACAAAAGTCCCACAAGCCGCGGTTGATATGACAGTAGTTCAACAACAACTCCGTATTTTTGCCGTGTCCTGAACAAGTCAGCGATCATCAATGTCAGCATATCCCTTACTGTCTGTGGTATGAAATACATAGCGACGGATCGATTTGGAGACAGTAGTTACCTCCAAAACTGAATGATGCCTTCGGATTTGGGAATCAATGTGTTCTTTAAGGGCAGGAACGTTGCCTAGGGTATCAGTTAAAAAGCTGCAAGGAAAACCGTTACCATCACAGTCTGATACCGACACGACGCGGATATTGAACTGGTGAGCCCAAAGTACAATGTTGGCGAGATCGGCGATGGATAGTGCTTTTTCAAATATAATTAAGGATAAATGTTTTGGAGTCTTCAGGGTTTCTGGTGTGAAATCCAATTTGCTTGAGGGTTCAAGTAAGCAATTAAACCGGGCCCACAAGGACCGGAGAGTTAGAAGTAGAAAAATTACACATTGGTAAGAAAAAATGTACATGTACAAAAAGCTTCTATAAAGAATTTGTTGTAGTGCGAATGATTTCATCTGAAATGGAGAAAGGACGGTTAAGTTAAATGAAAGTAGACACGATTAGAATAGAGAAGTTAGGCACACAACTTTACGTCAGTCCCTACGAAGGTGGAGAGCAGTTTTCCATAAGACAGGTGAAATAGTGAAGCCTATTGACTTGGGGAGCAGCAGACAGAATGTTCGGACCACAGTGACCGAAAAGGATATCTTGTGCCGAACCAGAGAGGAACTGAATGAAGACATTCTGTGACTGACCGGAAAACTGACCCTAAGATAATGTAAAGCAGTTAGTTCCCTTCAACAATTTGAAAAGCACGGAAAGAAGACGAAGGCTGGTAGATGCATGCATTTCGTATTGTCTCCTCAGTACCATTAACAATAACCGATAAGCATAGATATAGCTAACAGTGGGTGCAACCAGACAAGCTTAAGGTGCAAAATGAATGACGGAAGTTCACACCTACGTCCAAGGCAGTTTTAGGCTGACAAATAATTGTTTCTGAACGCACAAGGCTGGCTTAATCCGGCTAATTGCGACAGCCTCAGCAAACCGAAGGAAGCGGGGATTAGTGTGACGTAACAGAACTTTAAACGCTGAGCTCAGCTCTAATTGGTGATTCGAGTCTAATAGGTGTTTGCCTATCGAGGAAGCCGGCGGTATGCGCGAACATGGAATCTGACGAGGGTAGGCAATCTGAGCAACTTCACGTTGAACCCATCTTGGCACATGTTCCTTTATTCGGGAAGTCAGCGTTCTATTGGTTCTGCCTATGTAACTTTTTCCGCAGTCACATACAAATTGGTATACACAGTGTGAATTGGCCCCAATAGGCTGAGCTTCCTTCGTTGGAGGTATGGGCAAATTTCGGGTTCGGTTGATAACGACAACTTGTGCAGCATAGTAACTTCCTTGTGTAGCCGAAATTATACGCTTAGTTGTCTTCAGCGTGGCTAAGTCACCTTTGAAAGGTAACTCGATATACACTTTCTTCTTGGCTGCCGTGTGCACCAAGTCCTCTGGTCCTCGCGGCTGGATGTGTTTCTCGATAAATCTTCGAGGGTAGCCATTCGCCATTAGTGCTGCTGTAATTAACACTAGCTCATCGTCCAGACAGTCGGCCGAACAAATTCGTCTGGCACGACTAATTAGAGTCTTCACAAGTGTCCGTTTGTACCGCACTGGTGTGAAGTGCAGGTACTGACCGGACCAAGTCGATTTTCGGTAAATTGACCTCTTAATCAATCCATCCTCCCTGCGAGTTATGAGTATGTCCAGGTATGGTAGACAATTGTTTTGTTCTATTTCACATGTAACCCGTAAGTTAGCATGAGCACCATTGAGCCGTTTTACCAAATGTGTGAGTTGCTGCTCCGACGAACAGAAAGCCAAGATATCATCGACATATCTTTTGTAGTAGGGCACCTGGGCTATTTCTGTAGAAATGCTTCTTTCTACCATCAGCATGAAGAAATCAGCGAGCACAGGACCTAATGGGCTACCCATTGCTACGCCGTCAATCTGACGGTATGGTGTATTCCGGAAGTGAAAATCCACATTCTCCGTGCACAATAGTAGAGATTCTCTTAGCAATTCAGTCGGAATTGGTAGCGAACATCCACCGTTTTCAGCTAATTCACACACGTAATCAACCATCTGCTGTAGCGGAACGTTGGTAAATAAGGATTCTACATCCAAGGAACATATAACTTTGTCTGACAGGTTGAGTTCATCCAGATCATCAATGAGTTGAAACGAGTCTTTAAGACTGTACGGATTGAACTGTTGTTTCAGCGGAGCTAGCAACTTCACTAACCAACGTGCGAGTTTGTGCTGGGGCGCGTACATCATTGAAAGGATTGGCCTGAGTGGCACTTCACTCTTATGTGTCTTTGGGGACCCATACAACTGTGGAATAGTGCTACCACTCGGCTTCAAACTATTAAATGTATCAAAGTCTATCGCGCGGTGGAGGATAAGATAATCGCGCTCAAGCAGCTGGGGTCAGCCGTGAGTAGACTGGAGTTCCTAGCCGGTATGACGATCGTTGTCGGTGGAGTTCGGTAGTATAACGATGAAGGCATCTGCCGGTAACTTGTGTCAATCTTAGCCCAACCAGAGTCATTTGAAGAGGGTAAACAAGAGTGAAATTGATCACGGAATGCATTGCTGAACGCGACATATAGCATTTACGTGGTTCAGATACGGCCCAATTGATGAAAGTGATTTCGATTAAAACAAAAGTAAATCACGTTTCAAAATGAGCTGGTGTCGCGACCCATTTGTACAATTAGTAAACAAAGTCACAATGAGGAATCTGGGAACCACCAAGTTGCTGCACAAGTAATGTCATTGTGTTGTTGAAATGTGCTTTTCAAGGACTTCAATAGTGCCAACAACGGTGAAGCCTCTGATGTACTACGGTGGTGGGTCCGAGATAACAAAGCAAAAGAATAGAAAGTGCAGAATTACATCAGATGGAACTAGTGGAAAGCGTACTGACTAGAAGGAAAAGCCGGTGCAAAGGAGACAATTCTCGAAATGCAAACTAAGCTTGAACCGATTAGGCAACTATGATTGGTACGCCGTAATAGGTGATTTGAGCGGACATGGTTTTTGCCGCCATATACGTAGTCCAGAAGCGACAAATCAGCAGTGACATATCAGTAATAAGCACTGAGACCTTACTTAGGAAAGGTGCGAAGACTAAAGCCGGATAACATCAACGTTCTGCATCTTAGTCACGCTCGTGCGGTTGTTGGGATAAAAAATCCAACTAGAGAATAAAACCAATAAGAGCTTGAACGCATGAAAGCAAAAACCGGCTCCGGCACAGCCGATCGTTGTCGCAATAGATGTTAGTGAATTTGAAATCGAGATGGCATGGAGGCGAGAGCATGCGGCAATCGATCATACCATGAGAATTTTAGCATTAAAAGAATGTTCTGTGAATGCCAGGGTTTTGGTTAAATGGCCGATGTGGTGGCTCGGTCATGTGTGGCGTATGGATTTGTCGCGGATACCGATGCAGCTATTATATGGCCAACTGAGTTTGGGAGAGCAGAATGTAGAGAAACCGAAGCTTCGTTACCAGGACAACACCAAAGTGAGCCTCTCACGTTCTAATCTTGACTGCAGGTCATGGGAATCGAAAGCGCTTGATCGGCATTCATGACGCGATCGGATCACGAAGGCCGTTGCCGAGTTGCAAGAGAAATCCCTCGGGCATGCAGAGAACAATCGGCAATTGCAGAAACGACAGGCGCCGAAGCGTTGTACCCCATGGACATCGAGTGTATGGTGCTGTAGCATATGCGGTCGCGAGTGCCTGAGTCAGGCAGATCTAGTGAGCCATGAGCCAGGCCACTCGGGGCCACCACCGAAACGATGACGGGTCTCGCTGAGAAGGTAGGCAGAAGAGGCGCAGCATTTATAGGTACGCTGCATTCGATTTACTAACCGCGTGCTTGCATGCTCTCTCACTATTTCAGGTGTTGGGTTTGCTATACATATGCATAAATGTTTGACGTCATCCGGCTTCGGATTTGCCTGCCACTGTGGCCAGCCACAGGACGTCTGCGCTACACCACCCACAGGTAAAACTACACACCATATTTCCAATGTAAACCCGAAGGAATAAGACTGGGAGGCATGTGGATGGGAGCCATGCTTCATCAACGGAGCCGGCCCACACTCCATCACGGGCAAACACTAGCACGCTGTATTTGGGGATCAAGCGCACATAATGAGGTGGCTAAACCCTTGTCCGCTCCACTTTGAGTGCAAAGAACCACACTTCGAGCTTAGCACGGCCACAAGGACCGTGCACCCCGTCCCCTTCAGCAACAACCAACTGTCTCCTGGAGCCAGTATGGACGAGGTAGCGGGTAACAGACAGGTAGACACCCTGTCAACATGCACATCAAGTGCAGCCACACCGGGGATATCAGGTAACAGCTAATCACTTGAAACGACGAGATCAAACAAAATAAAGCGAATAATGCATATAGATACGGTGACAACTCTTCAATAAATGAGCATATAAAATAAATTGGTTACGAACAAATTCGCGATAGGCTAAAACATCAGAAAATGTGTGCAAATAAAATGCCACAAACACGAAAATATTATCGAAGTTAACTAAACGTGCAAGTTTATAAAAGATAGTTCAGGTACACATTAATATGAGATAAAAAGCATTAGGACAATATAGCAAAAACAACACCTGAAATAAAGAGACTTAGCATGCAAGCACGCGGTTAGTAAAGCGAATGCAGCGTACCTACAAATGCTGCGCCTCTTCTGCCTACCTTCTCAGCGAGACCCGTCATCGTTTCGGTGGTGGCCCCGAGTGGCCTGGCTCATGGCTCACTAGATCTGCCTGACTCAGGCACTCGCGACCGCATATGCTACAGCACCATGCACTCGATGTCCATGGGGTACAACGCTTCGGCGCCTGTCGCTTCTGCAATTGCCGATTGTTCTCTGTATGCCCGAGGGATTTCTCTTGCAACTCGGCAACGGCCTTCGTGATCCGATCGCGTCATGAATGCCGATCAAGCGCTTTCGATTCCCATGACCTGCAGTCAAGATTAGAACGTGAGAGGCTCACTTTGGTGTTGTCCTGGTAACGAAGCTTCGGTTTCCCTACATTCTGCTCTCCCAAACTCAGTTGACCATATAATAGCCGCAACGGTATCCGCGACAAATCCATACGTAACACATGACCGAGCTACTACATCAGCCATTTAACCAAAGCACAGGCAACCGAATGCCGCTTCCCAACACTCAGCTGACCATATGATATCTGCTTCCGTATCCGCGTCGAATTCATATGCCACACATGACCGAGCCACCAGCAAAAGCATGCAGTCCACTGCATACATTGGACTTCGGCGCAACACATCCGGGTCTGCAACTCTGTCGGACCAACCGATGCGCGGAAGACACCGCAAATACCGTTGATGGAACCGCTCGAGATATCGTACACCCCGCCGGTACATCGTCTACATTTCGCT